CCAGGGAGTCCTCCACACCTGCACACCCCCTGTTCCCCCAAAACAGTACTTCTGTCTTGTCAGGATTCAACCTTGATTCATTAGCTGCCATCCATCCTCCAGACACTCCAGAATTCCTAGTTTACACCCCCAGCACAGTCTCCTGTTGCCACTCCACTTCCGCAGGCCACCCAGGGGCATGTTCTAGTTCCCAAAGACCCCTGGGTCATTGTGTCCTGGCGCCAGAGAAGAGTGGAAAGAAAACCCCTCATTCCTCACCTCTCTCTGTGGCTGCAGTCATGATCACCAAAATGCCACCACTGCTGTTACCACCCCTACCCAGATGCTGGCGGGTGGAAGTTAAAGAGAAGGGAGGAGGGGGCTGGTGCTGTCTGGAAGCAGGTATTGGGGCGAAGCATGTCAAACTAGCTGGGAAAATAAGCAGAGCTATTTCGGAATTGTTCGGAAATGGCTTGGTTTATTTTCCAAGTCAGCCCGGTTAGAGCCCAGGAGAAATCGCCCGTTTTTAAGCAGTGATTTTGCTTGCGGAAGAATCCATGAAAAGCTTCCTAGGAACCCCAAGATCACAAAGGACACTGTTTTGGACCCCCCCGGCTTCTAGCGATATCACCAAGCTTGCTTCAGCTAACCACCCTGGAGCAAAGTTCTGCTTTTCTGCCCTGTACGGAAAGCAGGCTTCATAGTCAGTCCGGCCCCCGACTCTTCTTTTCTTCTGTTTATCGTAATAAGAAAGTGCTGTTGGGAAAAAAAAGCTTTGGGTTTTTTGCAGTATTCCCCATTGTGGGATCTCTGGGGGCGCAAGACAGCTTTGACGGCCGATTGCGGCGGTTTTGTTGCTTGTTAGATGAAAAGTGAAGGGTGAAGACAAGCCCATGAATCATTCCTGTTTGGTTTGGCTCGGGAGAAGGGATGTGTTTAGAAATGTTTGATTCCCTTCCTCCTCTGAAAGCCTTTCTTCTTCCACCCCGTTTGCTTTCTTAAACTCGTTTCTCTCCCTCTCCTAGATTACCCTGAATTATTCCAAGATGGTAAAACAGGCAAACTCATCTTTTTCTTGACTTGGCTTCCTTCGCAGCAGATGTCGAATGAAAAAGTCTGGCTTTGAGAAAGGGACTTCTCCACAACGGCTGGGGAGAAGAGGGCCTGGTTGCTCTGCGGGCAGAGAGAGAGAGCTGGGAACTGCAGCTCCTTATCCTTGTCTCTATCCCAGGAAGAAAAGAATGTCTTCTCCTTGCCCTTTCTAGGAGACGTTTTCTGAGTCCTCATTTCCTTCCAGGGACATCTGCTCTGAGTTTGCCAAGGCTGAGCTCCCGCTGTTCGATTTGTCTCTGCCTTTCGCGCCGGAGAAGCTGCACGCAGGGAAGGAAGGAAACATTATCTTTTTGTGCCATGCTGTGTTGAGCTAGGGGGTGTGCTGGGGCTTTGTAAAGCAAAGGGGCTCGGAGTCGAGAGTGGATTTCATGCTCTTTATTCAGCTCATAGTGGTGAGGAGGAATGGAAGTTTCCCCAGAATGTATGCTTTAGATACATTATTTGCACAATGGGCCCCACGTGATTGGCTAATTCCGGGATTCACCTGTAGGCCAATCAGGTTGCAGATTCATTTCCACCTGGAGCTGGATTGGGTGGCTCCTGTGGACCAATCAGACTGCTGCATTCTGAATCCTATTGTTCTAGGACCAATCAGACTGCTGCATTCTGAATCCTATTGTTTTAGGACCAATCAGACTGCTGCCTTTTGGATCCTATTCAACTCAGTACATAACAGAATGCAAACTCAGGGGTTCATTGCCCTGAGCCCCTTATGAGCTGAGCCAAAGGCTGGCCCAGTTCCTAATGAGCCCACTGCCACTATCTTGTTTTCTAGCATAAATACCAACAAGAACATCAGAACACCAGAGGAGCTCCCTGGATTGGACCAATGGCCCTTCTGTTCTCATAGTGGCCAACCAGATGCCTGCTGGAAAGTGGCAAGCAGGATTTAAGCACAGGAGCGCTCTGACCTCCTGTGGTTCCCGGCAACTGATATTCAGAAACTGTGTTGGGCCCAGGGGTAACCCGTGACAGAAGGTCCAGGATCTGTCCAGAATCCGAAGGTCCTGCTAGGAATCCGTCCGACAGGGCCAAGGCAGGACACAAGGCAGGAAACCAGGCAAGGACAGGTACAGGATCTCAGGCAGGATCTAGCATACAGCAATGTTGCTCCCACAACCTGGGGCGGGGTCCGACAGCCTTTTATCTTTGTCAGGGTAACGGCCGGTCCTGATCCCCCGGCGACTCACCTCCCTGTCTCACCAGAAGTCGAGCACTCCTCCTGTGAGGGCGGGGTATAAATAAAATTTTTTATCATCATCATCATCATCATCATCATCGGCTCTGGATCCATTCCAGTCTGGCTTCCGCGCTGGTCATGGGACCGAGACGGCTCTGGTCGCCCTAACAGATGATCTCCGCAGGCAGCTGGATCAAGGCGGGTCGGGGCTGCTGATTCTTCTAGACCTGTCAGCAGCCTTCGACATGGTTGATCACGAACTCCTGGACCACCGCCTTGCCGACGTGGGGATCCAGGGCACAGTCCTTCAATGGCTGCGCTCGTTTCTCTCCGGTCGGGGACAGAGGGTGGCGCTTGGGGGAATTGTCATCCCGCCACTCCTTGGTGTGTGGAGTGCCTCAGGGTGCGATACTCTCCCGATGCTTTTAACATCTTTATGCGCCCTCGCCCAGCTTGTCCGGAGTTTTGGGCTGGGTTGCCATCAGTATGCCGATGACACCCAACTCTATCTGTTGATGGATGGCCATCCTGACTTGGCCCCAGACACACTGACCAGATGTTTGGAAGCTGTGGCTGGATGGTTACGCGGAAGCCGGTTGAAGTTAAATCCTTCGAAGACAGAGGTCCTCTGGCTGGGACGGGACGATATGGGATTGGGGGGGCAACTCCCATCTCTTGCGGGAGTGCAATTAGTGCCAGCACCGTCCGTTAAGAGTTTGGGTGTAATCTTCGATACCTCCCTCTCTATGGAGGCGCAGATTACAGCTATAACAAAGGCGGCATTTTTTCATCTCCGCCAAGCTAAGCAGTTGGCCCCTTATCTCTCTCGCCCTGACCTAGCCACTGTGATCCACGCGACGGTCACCTCCAGACTGGATTATTGTAACTCGCTCTACGTGGGGCTGCCCTTGAGACTGACCCAGAAACTCCAGCGGGTGCAGAATGCCGCGGCGAGACTCCTTATGGGGTCTTCGCTGCGAGATCACATTCATCCGGTACTATACCAGCTGCACTGGCTCCCGGTGGGGTACAGGATCAGGTTTAAGGTGCTGGTTTTAACCTTTAAAGCCCTATACGGCCTAGGACCCTCGTACCTACGGGACTGCCTCTCCTGGTATGCCCCACAGAGGAACCTACGGTCTGCAAATAAAAACATCCTGAAGGTCCCAGGCCTCAGAGAGGTTAGGCTGGCCTCAACTAGAGCCAGGGCTTTCTCGGCTGCGGCTCCAATCTGGTGGAACGCTCTGTCACAAGAGACTAGGGCCCTGCGGGACCTGACATCTTTCCGCAAGGCCTGCAAGACAGAGTTGTTCCACCAGGCCTTTGGTCAGGGCCCAGCCTGACTCCCTCCTCTGGCAACCTGCACAGAACTTTGCTTAACGGTTTGCCATTAATTTGATTTTAATTAATTTTTATAATGAAATGTTTTAGAATGTTGGATTATTTGATTGTTTGATTATTTGTTTGTTGTTAGCCGCCCTGAGCCTGGCTTTGGCTGGGGAGGGCGGGATATAAATAAAATTTATTATTATTATTATTATTATCATTATGTGTCTTTTTGTGCTGCTTTATCATCAATCATCAAATTTTAGAATTGGAAGGGACCATAACGGTCATATGCCAACCTCCTGCAATGCAGGAATTATAGGTGGCTAGCACCCACCTGGAAGCCATTTTGTGTCAGGCACCCACAGGACTTTCTCAAAATTCCAGATCTCTGAGAGTCTTTGTTTTAAGCTTTATAATGGCTGCAACGATTGTTGGGGCAAGGAAATAGATGGACCAAAATTCACTATATCTTCAGGAAAGGCTAATGAAACATGTGGAGCCAGCAGTGATGGATAAACTGACAAATACAATCCAGAAAAGAGAAAGCATGAGATGGAATATAATGTATGCAGAGAGACGGGACTGTTTTGTGGGCTGCTTGAAAGCACTGTGCGGAAATGAGAGGCTAGGAAGATATTTGTTTACCTAGATTGGGTATTTGTTTTCCCTCTCTCTTCTGTTTATCATTGTATTATAATGCGGTTCTTTTCCCTTTCTGTAGTTTAATGAAGAAGAAAATTTATTTCTTAAAGGAATTCCAAATGCGCCCACTGTCTGGCGATCCCTGCTCTGCTAAGATAGCCGCCACAGCTCCATACAAGAAAAGGAATGAGGAGCAAACATGCAATAATGCATGTTGCAATGGTTGTATAACCCAACTGTGCTATCTGCTGAATGGTTGACTCATGTCTTGAGATGATTTATTTGATCGCTATTGCAATAATGTATTGATTTTCAATTTCCATGTCCTCTTGGGAGCTGCTTTGAGTATGCTATAATAAGAAAGCATGGGACCAAATAATAAGAAAGAGTAGAAAAAGGATGCAGCCCTGTGCTGTAACTGTTGCAAGTATTGCTGGCCCCTTAGCCCAACCCCTTCCTCCTTTAACCACGCCCACTTTAGCACCACTTCTGCTCAGCTTTGGCTGCACATCTTCTCTAAAGAAACTGCCTGTTTAAATCCAATATAATATATCGTGGGATGCCTGGAGAATGGGAATCATGAGGACACAAAGACTGGCTGTAGTTCAGCGGCCAGAACTTGAAGAGCCAGCCCTACAGTGTGAAGGCATTTGGTGTTTATGAGATTTGGCTTTAAAGGGCAATTAAGACAAGTTAATGGAGAAGGGGAGGTCTTTCAGTGCCTAATTCATAAAGATCATATCACCCTTTATATATTGAATCTATAGCTCAGTTGGTAGAGCATGAGACTCTTAACTACAGGGTCATGGTTTGAGCCCCATGTTGGGTGAAAGAGTCTTCATTACAGGGAGTTATAGAATTGTAGAGTTGGGACCCCAAGGGTCATCTAGTCCAACCCCCCCCCCACAATACATCCATTATGGCAATTGAAATTGACTCCAGATGCGGGGATGACCTCGTTGCCTCCAGCTGGGCCATCGCTTACAGCTGCTCCACTACCGGTTGGGTCAGGGGAGGCTGAGGCGGCCCCTGGGTCTAGTCACCCACCGATGTCTCCCGAGCTGCAGAGACTCAGGTCTGAGAGAAGGAGAGACCTGAGTACTCGCAGGAGGAGTGCTCACCTTTGGGCAAGACAGGGAAGTGAGTCACCGGGGGATCAGGACCGGCCGTTACCCTGTCAGAGATAAAAGGCTGTCGGACCCTGCCCAAGGATGCGGGAGCAACATTGCTGTTTGCTAGAACCTGCCTGAGACCCTGTGCCTGACCTAGCATGGTTTCCTGCCTTGGCCCTGTTGGACTGACTCCTCGTGGAATCCTTGGATTCGGGACCGGACTTGGACCGCGTTGCTCGGGTTAACCCCCGGGCCCAGCACAGTTGTGGATTTTTGAAGGAATGTTTAGTGAGACCTTTCATAGTGACCTACTGACAGACACACTGATGGCAGTGAATTCTTTCTAGTTGGACCATTTCTGCACGTGAAAGTCATAGTCTTAGAGACAGAATGGACCCAATGTTGCATCTGGTCCAACCTCTTGCAGTGCGGGAATCACAGCTACAGAACTATTCTGGCCCCTTTCGGGCTGGGTAGAAATATTCTGTGCCTGCGCAGAAGGCAACAGACCTTTGCCCATGTGCAGTTGCATTGCAGGCTCCAAGTCTCACCCCAGCTACTTTCTCCCATCTCTTCAGCGACTCTGCGATGAGCAAATCTCCCTCTTTTGCATTTCTCCCCGTTGTGCATATATTAAAGGCCTCTGTCAGGGAATGTGATATGAACTGTAAAGCTCATTACTTAGTAAAACTCCTATGGAGTTAAAATAATGAAGTTAGTAATGAGATGATAATAATGAGGATAAGAAGGGAACAAAGGAGGGGGTTTAGCGCAGCTGAAAAGTGGCCCTGTCAGGCGGCGAGGCAAGGCTGCTTCCTCACGCGGTAGATTTTGGGTGCTGCTAAGGTTGGCCAAGTGGAAGGCTGCCAGCAGCCTCTGCAAGAAGAGCTCGGATTTGCCTGTCAGCTCCACATGTGACTCCCCTACAAGGAAGATAGCAGCGGGAGAATCTGTGAATTCCAGCTTGCCTTCCTTTTTACCAATCTGAAGTTCAGTTTGCTTCATTTGTGCACCGGTTTGCATTTTTTGTCGCCTTTCTTTTCCTTTTTTAAACGTTTTCCTGAAATTTCACCAGCGGTCTGTGCATGTTTCTCCTGATGAAGAGATGAGTTTGGATTTGATATCCTGCTTTATCACTACCCGAAGGAGTCTCGAAGTGGCTAACATTCTCCTTTCCCTTCCTCCCCCACAACAAACACTCTGTGAGGTGAGTGAGGCTGAGAGACTTCACAGAAGTGTGACTGGCCCAAGGTCACCCAGCAGTTGCAGGTGGAGGAGTAGGGAAGCAAACCCGGTTCACCAGATTATGAGTCCACTGCTCTTAACCACTACACCATGCTGGCTCACTGGTGATACAGACACCGACTGATTTGCATGTGTCCAATTGATGCGTGCATGCATCATGGCAACCCGGAAGTGACAGGAAAAGAGGGCGGAATGGGGGTGGGTGGAATAGGGCGTAATGGGGTGTAACGGCACACATGATAACCCAGAATACAAGGCCCACAGAAATCAGTGGTTGCTTGTACAGTGGTACCTCTGGTTGCGAACAGGATCTGTTCCAGGGGCCCGTTCGCAACCTGAAAAGAACGCAACCCATGTCTGTGCATGCGCTGGTCGCGATTCACCCCTTCTGCACATGCACGTGACGTCATTTTGCGCATCCGCGCATGCACGAGTGGCGAAACCCGGAAGTAACCCTTTCCAGTACTTCCGGGTTGCCTGAAAACACGCAACCTGTAGCAAACGTGACATGAGGTATGACTGTATAGACGTTTTGTGTGTGTGTGCAATTTTGCCCATTTTGCCAGCCACTTCCTCCTAACACTTTTTATTTATTTAAATGTATTTCATAGAATCATAGAATTGTGGAGTTGGAAGCACTGCTAGGCAGGGATGGAGCTACCTGCCCTGGCACCCGGAGCAGTGCGGGGGCAGGGCTAGCTGACTGCACGGCGAGCGTCTGGGGGCGCCACTAACGACCTGCAGCAGCATCGTCCCTAGTGGCCCGCCGCCTGCGCAGTGAGCGTCCAGGGTGCCGCCCGCACAGCGAGTGTGACCCTCATGGCTGACACCTGGTGCGCACCGCACCCCCTGTACGAAACACGCCCAGGAAGGCCGCCAACTTCCAAAGACTTCAGGACGTCTCTCCGGTGGTCCTCCCTGGCTATAAATCTCCCTCAGTCCAGAGAGACCGGTGATAAGCGACCCCTCCCTCCTGAGAGGAGCACGCTCATTTTCTGGCGTCTCATTGCAGAAGAAAGAGTCAATCAGTAGCTCTAAACTACTTTATTTTACAGCCTATATACGGAGAATCCATCAGCATGGATTCATCCATGGAGCTATTAAGAAAGCTGCAGAGATAGCGCAGGATAGTGCACACCCTGGAAACAATCTCTTTCAGCTTCTGCCTTCTGGAAGAAGGTACAGGGTTATAAAGACTAGGACTAGCCACCTGAGAAGCAGTTTCTACCCAAATGCAATTCTGGCTCTAAACGCAGCATAAGGAGTCTCGATAGTATATGGTATTTTAAAATGGGGTTTCAGAGTTTTTAGGGGTTTTTGAATGTTTTATGTAGATTTTCAATTTCGTCGTTCTGTACGGGACAATGACAATACAGATATTGTATATCGTATATATCGTATATCGTATGTCTGTGCTCTCTCAGCACCAGTACAGAACAGCAACACTCTCAGAAGTGAAACTAACTTCCAACAATACTCCAACAGTACTGAGACTTCCTGTCTCACGCTCACTCAGACACTCACATGATATACACAAACATAGGGAAACAGCTGGAGCAGCATGGATGGATAGAAATCCTAACACCCCCCGCACCCACCTTCCTCTGCCAGTTCTGCTAGGGATCAGCTAGTCCAATCCCCTGCAATGGAGGAAACTCAGCTAAAGCTCCCATGGCAGAATGGCGTTCAGCTTCTGCTTGAATGTCTCCATCAAAAGAGAGTCCACAACCTCCTGAGGGAGTCTGTTTCACCTTACTGTCCGAAAGTTCTTGCCAAAGTTTAGTCAGAATCTCTTTTCCTGTAACCTGAAGCCATTGCCTCAAGTCCTCCCCTCCAGAGGAGGAGAAAACAAGCTTCCTCCATCTTCCATGTGACAGCCCTTAAGATATTTGAAGATATCTCCTCTCAGTCTCTTCTTTTCCAGGCTAAACATACCCAGCTCCTTCAAGTGCTCCTCATAAGGTTTGGTTTTCAGACCTTTGAACATCTTGGTGACCCTCCTCTGTGCACCTTCCAGCTTGTCAATATCCTTCTTAAATTGTGATGCCCAGAACTGGACACAGTATTCCTGGTTTGGTATGACCAAGGCAGAACAGAGAAGTACTGTGACTTCCCTTGACCAGGACACAAGACTTCAGTTAATGCAGCCTAGAATTGCATTAGCTATTTTTTTGCCTCTGCATCACACTGTTGAATCATGTTAAGATTGTAGTCTACTAAGACCCCTAGATACTTTCCCCACATACTGCTAGCAATGTATTCGTGCATCTGGTTCTTCCTGCCTAAGTGCAGACCTTTTCTGGCTTTGGTTTGCACTGATTTTTTAAAAATAAATTTATTTATAATTTCCAACAAAAAAATTGAAACAGTTCTCACATATCGAACTTCGACTTCCCTCCCCCTCTTTCAGAGGTTCCATGAATTTACCCTCTTTCTTCTTCTGCATATCACAATTAACTCTATTTATTCTTTCCCTCGTCTATTTCATATATGTTTTAGAAACTGCAAGTTTTACAGCAACCCTGCTAGTGTCTTAATTGGTTTACAATTTGTTTGTAAATATTCAATAAACGATAATGAATAATAATTAGTTTGGGGAATCCCGCGGGACTCAGGGATTCCCCAAACTAATTATTATTCATTATCCCACAGCGCTGGCCAATCGGCGGGCGCTAGGGGCGGGCTTACAATAGGGCACTTAAAGTCGGGGAAGCCCTGGCTCGCCCCTTTTCCTTCCTTACAGCAGCTGCGGTTTTTCCCACCCACCCGCCCTCTAGGTTTGCATTCGGACTTTGCTATGGGCTTTGGCTGGTCACCGCAAGGGGCCTGGTAGGAGTTTTTCCATTTGGCTAATTGGCTGTATTTTGAAGCCACTTGGTTTTTTCGCCTACCTCGTAGCAAAACGTCACAACTCCTCGGTTTTGGCGGTAGGCATTGGCAGGGGTATTGTTATGCAAATGAAGTTGGGGGGCAGGAACGCCATCACCTCCCCCAAATCGTGAAGGGTAGTTCGTTAAAGGACTCCGGGAGGCGTCGCCTCGTCCGAAACCTACGGAGGCTAGGGCCTAAAGCGCGCTCCCGAGCGGTAACCCCTTGGGGAGCGCCTAGGGATGTGCATCTCGGGGCTCCCCTGTTGGTGCTTAACCCTTCCCGGTTAGACCGGATAGTCTGTTAGGGCCAATGCCTAAAGCCAATACCACTCTTACCTGTAATCAATAAAGTTGTGGCCATTTTCGCCCATTAACCTAAATTCTGGTGTCCGGTGTCTTTATTTATTCCATCCGTGGGAGGAGGCAGGAATTGCCACGCAAGACAAAAAACTTGCTAGACGAAAGGGTTTTTTGTTTTTTGAGCTGCTTCGCAAGACGATTTTCCCTATGGGCTTGCTTCGCAAGACGGAAACGTCTTGCAAGTTTGTTTCCTTTTCTTAACACCGTTAATACAGTTGTGACTTGACTTCGAGGAGCAACTCA